CAGGGTTGGGGGGGGGGCGGTGTGGCAGAGGGAGACGCCCTTGCAGGCGCTTGGTCCTGTGCACAGGAGCACTATTCCTGGGGAAATGACACCCAGGCAGTGGCCATGCTGTGGGGTGCAGCCCGAGGGAACCCAGAGAAATGGACACAGGCACCTTCCCTTTGCAAAGGACTCGGTGCTGCTGAGACCCGAGTCAGTCCCTCCCCGGGCCCCCTGCCTCGGCCCCTCGGCCCCTCGGCCCCTCGGCCTGCAGGAGAGCTGGCTCTGTTCACGCTTCTCCTTTGGCTTGGCAGCCCTGCCGGTTGTGTGTGGCCGGTGGAGGGCATGAGGGGAATGGGAGGAGGCAGTAGTGGTGGGCTGTGTGGGGAGCCACTGAGAGTACTCTGCCCAGCACGGGGAGATGACTCCCCGTGGAAGGGAAAGGCAGCCCCAGGGTGGTTCTGTGGTCTTGCATGTGAGTCCTGGGGGACCCTTAGACCACCACAAACTCTTGGTAACAACCATCACCCCAAGGAAAATGTGACTGTACTGCGATCCTGCTGCTTGCACACTGATCATGCTGTGGCTGTACTGCGCCCTGTGGTCGTACTGTGAATGTGTGTGTGGTGATGGCGCCGTTAGCGTGCTGTACTCTGTTCCGTGATGGTGCTGATTGTACTGTGTTGGTTTTTGTTGTCTTTCTGTGATTGCACTATGCTTTTGGACAATTTCTCTTCCATTTAACACTGAATCCTATTGGCCTGATGTATGTGTTAGGAGCTGTCTTCTACTTTAAGGCATTTGTGTGGTGAGATTGTCGAGTGGCTGTGCAGACAGGGAGCTCAGGCGTCGGCGGGCTGCGGGGGCCCGGCCTGGTCCTGGCTGCTGCTCTCCAGCAGCGACACTTATTCCCAAGCCACTTAGTTTGGAGCATTTTGAGCCTCCGGCTTTGGAAGCCTGGGTGTGGTTGGTGTGGTCCTGTTGCTGTACGACAAGGGTGACAACACGGTCATCTTTGTCAGGGCTGTCCATGCTCAGCAGCCCTGGGGGCAGCTCTGGGAAGGCCCTGCCGTGCCCCGTGACACCTGTGGAGTTGGGGTGGGGCAGGCACCCCAAGAGGACAGGACCCCTGCTGCCCGGCGTGTCCTGGCCCTTCCCCTCGGCCCCTATGTGGGCTCAGCTGCCCAGCCCCGTGGCTCTTCCCTGAAGAGCCTCTCTTCCCTCTTCCCCTGCAGCCACCGCGGGAGGCGAGCCCGGTCCTTCTGCCCTGCCTTCCAGATTCCACAGACAGGTCACCTGCCACCCAGACCTTCCATGGGAAAAGGGGAGGCTGTGGACATGTGGTTGGCTGAACTTTATTCCGTCCTGAGGCCAGGAGCGACAAGCCGACCGCCCCTGGGGGAGCGGGAGCCTCATGGTGTCCCGTGCTCTGGGTCGGGCAATGTGGTGTACATGGGGTGAAATGAGGGTGCCCAGTTTAGTGAGAATGTAGATAGCACCCCTCCCCGGGAGCGAGCTGTCATGGTTACAGCGGCAGCCTGCAAGGAAATGACTGCGCGCCAGTTGGCGGTGGCTGTTTCCGGCGTGCGTGCGTGCTGTGGTGCATGCTGCTGAAGCTCTTCGTCAGGGTAGGGCTGTCCCAGGCCGCTGTTGGGCTGTCGTCGCCCTCTCCCACCCCACTGCTGCTGCGTGGCCTAGGGGCCACGAGGTTCCGGTGCTCAGGGGCTGACTGTGTGCAGCCCACGGGACCCCTCCCGCCTTCTCCCTTGGCGGTGCCGCACCCACTCTGTCCTTAGGGTTCTGACTCACCCCCGCCCCTCCTCCGCCATCCTCCTCCACGCCCACTCCTCTTCTTGCCTGGGTTCACACCAGGGAAACAGCCAGAGGCAGACAGGACCCAGGGAGAGCCAGCTCCCGGGCTGGTGACACCAGCCCGCTCCGTGTCATCGCCCACCGTGATATCACCCCACAGGTGGTTGGGCGGAGTCTGGCCTCGCTGGTCTTCCTGGCTCCGGCCACCAGCCATGGTGCTCAGATGCAGTGGCTTGACCTCAGCCTGCTGTGGGACATCTGTCTCCGTGGCTGGGCGGGGCCTCCTGTGTCCCCAGCAGCAGCCAGGGCCCAGTGGGCTGGATCCCTCTCAGCCTGACGCTGGACTGGGGCACCACCTGCAGAATGCAGGCATGTGGCTGCTGTCGTGGCCACTTCTGTCCCCAGATATAGAGTGGCGCTGGTGGGCACCAGGGCACAGTCTGTGGTGGGCCAGAGGGGTCGTTTTCTGGGTCATTTCACTGCACCTTTGACCCATTGGTGCAGAGAAACCCAGCAGTTACTCTGGGTTCATCTATTAACAGAACAGTGGAGCACAAAGACACATGTGTGTCCAGGGCCTGCGTGGTGAGAATGCATGCGTGAGGCGAGCGTGCCTGCGTGAGGCAAGCATGCATGCGTGAGGCGAGCGTGCATGAGTGAGGCAAGCGTGCATGCGTGAGGCGAGCGTGCCTGCGTGAGGCGAGCGTGCATGCGTGAGGCGAGCGTGCATGCGTGAGGCGAGCGTGCCTGCGTGAGGCGAGCGTGCATGCGTGAGGCAAGCGTGCATGCGTGAGGCGAGAGTGCATGCGTGAGGCGAGAGTGCATGCGTGAGGCGAGCGTGCCTGCGTGAGGCGAGCGTGCCTACGTGAGGCGAGAGTGCCTGCGTGAGGCGAGCGTGCCTGCGTGAGGCGAGCGTGCCTGCGTGAGGCGAGCGTGCCTGCGTGAGGCGAGCGTGCATGAGTGAGGCGAGCGTGCATGAGTGAGGCGAGCGTGCATGCGTGAGGCGAGCGTGCATGCGTGAGGCGAGCGTGCCTCTGTGAGGCGAGCGTGCCTGCGTGAGGCGAGCGTGCCTGCGTGAGGCGAGCGTGCCTGCGTGAGGCGAGCGTGCATGAGTGAGCTGCACGTGTGAGGCGCCCATGTCCAGTGGGAGATACTCACTGTTCTTCAGGGCCACGTTCTACTCAGCGCTGGGCCGTGAGAGTGGGCAACGTGAGGGACGTCAGGCACTCTGTGTGTGTGTGTGTGTGTGTGTGTGTGTGTGTGTGTGTGTTGGTTCTGGGGCTTGAACTCAGAGCCTGGGCTCTGACCCTGAGCTGCTTTTGCTCAAGGCTAGTGCTCTACCACTTGAGCCACAGCACCACTTGTGGCTTTTTCTGCTTAGGTGGTGCTGAGGAATCGAACCCAGAGCCTCATGCATGTGAGGCAAGCACTCTACCACTGAGCCACCTTCCCAGCCTAAAGAACAATTTTAAGATGATTTCAAGGAGGTCCTGGGCCTGTGCCCTCGGGGGCACTGAGTCCAGGCCCCCTCCTCGTGCTTCCTGCTCCGAGGGCCTGGGGCTGGGAGGGCAGCAGCTTGCCCGTCGGGAAGGAGGCGGGTGCCCACCGCTGCAGGTCCAGGCCCTCCATGGGGCGGCGGGCACAGGAGGAGCAGCAGGGCACCAGGCGGGGCTGACTGTTGAGAGCGTGGGGCAGGTGCAGCTGTCCACACCTGTGGGCTGCGGGTGGCCGTCGGGAGCGCCGCCCAGGGGCAGGCCTGGCGGTGTGTTCTGCCCTACACGGGGGCCCAGGGTGGAGACCGCATGGGCTGGTCCTGCGAGCAGATGTGTGTGGGGTAGGTGGAGCCACCGGGGCAGAGCTCCAGGCCCGAGGCTTGCCCAGCTCCGCTGCACTTGGCCGGGTTTGAGGTTAGACCCAGAGACTTTGACCTTGAAGCCGGACCAGCCTCCAAGGGTGAGGTGCCAGGTGGTGTGTGGCCCGCCAGCTGCGGGGACGCTGCGGGGCCGGGGTCACGAGGATTCCGGGCAGGCTTTCCAGTGACCGACAGGAGTGGCGGCCGGGCAGCACTGACCCCGGGGTCCAGTCGCTTTCTCAAGGTGAACGACGCCTCATGCACACTTAGACCGGAGCACGCACAGGCGTGTGGCCAGATCCACAGCCCGTGCCCTGGGCGGGTCGCACGGTCACAGGCATGTTCAGGCGGTGGGGAGGGGCCTCGGCGAGGGTGAGCCGCCCCGCGGTGGCGAGCAGCGTACCGTGACCGCGTGTGTCACTGTGTGTGTCCCACCTCGCCGCTGTCTGTACCCTGCGCCCTTGCTCTGGGGCTGGAGGCAGGCGCGGGGCGGAGCCGGCTTCCGAGGTCGGCACGGATGGGCCAGCCCCGGGCCGGCAAGGGGGCCGTGATCGGTCTGGTCCAGGACGTAGACGGCTGTGCCCTGCGCCTCGTGGGGGGTGGGGGTGTCTGGCCTCTCGTGCCAGGAGGTCGGAGCCAGCGGGGCTGGGTGCAGTGACAGCGCCGTCGGCCCCGGCCACCCTCGGCTTCTGGCCCCTAGCCCCTCCCACACCCAGCACTGGAGGTCAACGGGCCGGGGGAGGGGCCTCACAGCCTCCAGTGGGTGTGGACAGCCTGTGAGTACTGCGGAGAGGAGAGGAGCTCTTGACAGAGTGTGTGCTGTGTGTAGTGTGTGCAGTGTGTTCTGTGTCAGCGGAGTGTAGCACGAGCTGTGTGTAATGTGTGCAGTGGGTGTAGTGTGTGTTGTGTGCTGTGTATGTGTGTGCAGTGTGGAGTATGAGCTATGCTGTGTGTGTAGTGTGAGCGGTGTGTAGTATGTGTTGTGTGCTGTGTGTATAGTGTGAGCCATCTGCTGTGCAAGTAACATGAGCTGTGTGCTGTGTGTATTGTGTTGTGTGTAGTGTGTGCTGTGTATGTGTGAGCGGTGTGTAGTGTGAGCTGTGTATGTGTGTACAGTGTGTGTGGTGTGTGCTATTTGCTGTGCGTGCAGTATGAGCTGTGTGTGTGGCCTGTGCACTGTGTATGGCACACACGTGTGCATGTGGTGGTGATGGCACAGCACACAGACGCTGTGTGTTGTTTCTGGGTGCAGGTGTGAGGAGGGTGTGGGAGGGCAGGCGCCTGGCCGCGGGGGTGGGCAAGGCCTTGTCCGAGCCCGAGCCGCGGCCGAGCCTGGTCCTGTGCCCTGTGCCCGCAGGACAGCTGTTCTCAGTGAAGGACCCTGTGCCCGCCCCTGAGCAGCGACCATGGGCCTGCTCGCCTACCTGAAGACCCAGTTTGTGGTGCACCTGCTCATCGGCTTCGTCTTCGTGGTGAGCGGCCTGATCATCAACTTCACCCAGCTGTGCTCGCTGGCGCTCTGGCCCATCAGCAAGCAGCTGTACCGCCGCATCAACTGCCGCCTGGCCTACTCACTCTGGAGCCGTGAGTGTCCGCCCACGGGGGGGGTCTCCCCTAGCCCCCTGAGCGCCCACGGGGGGGCGCCCCCCGCCCCCAGCTCAGGGTGTCTGAGGAGGGGCGCGAGCTCAGGCTGAGCCAGGAGGGGGCCCACACCTGCCCAGAGGAAAGACCCAGATGACCGCCCGGGCCTCCGGAGGTCCCGCCGGGCCGGTGGTGGACGGGTGCCCGGGCTTCCTCACCTCACTTGAGCCGGGCCGCCTGCACCGGCTCTCGAAGCGCGTAGGTGAGGCCGGCGTGGCACACCACGCTGCAGGTGGTTTTCAGTCAGCCGAGTGAGCGCGTGGAGCCTCGGCCCAGGCACGCCCGCCATGCACGCAGGAAGCCAGTGTGGAGCGGTGCTCGGGCAGAAGCTCGGAGGGAGAGCACACGCGGCTGCCTCCGTGTGGCACGCGTGTAGAGGTGTCTGCCCCTCTGGACGTGCGTCTCCACGTGGCCCTGTGCACACGGCCAGCACGCTGGGAGTGATGGGCGCTGTTCTGGGTTTTCCAGGCTGTGGCTGGCAGGAAGTCAGCTGACTGCCTCCGACTCACTCCAAGCGTAAGAGCACAGCGCATGCGTGCCACATGGCGGGCAGATGTCTGTGTTTTGTCGTTTGTGCTGGCACAAATCTGGCAGGCCCAGACGGGGACTCATCCTGCCTTGTCACCACACACCACCGCAACAAGAGCGAGCTGCCTGGGCTGTAGACACCATCTTCCAATCCCACAGTGTGGGAGGCAGAGGCTGGGAGATCTTAAATTCCCAGCTAGCTGAGCTACACACACACACACACACACACACATACGTGTGCACACACACAGTGTTCAAACTAGTCTGGGCTACATAGTAAGTTTAAGAGCTGTCTGGGCAGCTTTTGATACAGTGAAACATTGTATCAAAAACATAGAGTGGTAGCTCTTGTCCTTAATCCCAGCAAGAGAGAATAGGTAGAAGCCAATAGTCCAAAACCAGAAAACAATGTCAGACGCTATCCAAAAAATAACAAAGGCAGAGAAGGTACAGAAGCTCAAGAAGTAGACCGCTTGCTTAGCAAGTGTGAGACCCTGAGTTCAAACCTTAGTGCCGCCGGAAGAGGGGAAAGAAAGAAGAGAGGGAAGGAAAGCGGGGGGGGGGGGGGGGGGAAGAGAGGAGGAAGAGAGAAAGGACAATTTGCCCAATCCTATTTTGGTGGGCAGCGTGACCATGCCACAGACCCCAGCCAATGACCAGGGGCCCACGCAGGCAGCCATACTGAGCCCTCGGAGCCCATCGGCGCTGCGACCCCTGTGAGCACGCCCCACGAGAGGGAGGCAGGGAGGCGGTGGGAGGGAGGCGTGGCCTCCAGGATGCTGTGACCACCGTGGGCGCCCCACGGGGGAGAGGCAGGGATGCGGGGAGAGGGAGGCGTGGCCTCCAGAACGCTGTGGGCGCCCCACGGGGGAGAGGCAGGGAGTGGGGCAGTCACGGCCTCTGCGACCCTCATGGCCGTGCCATCCCTGCAGAGCTGGTCATGCTGCTGGAGTGGTGGTCGTGCACTGAGTGCACCCTCTTCACCAACCATGACACCGTGAGCCACTTCGGAAAGGAGCACGTGGTCATCATCCTCAACCACAACTTCGAGATCGACTTTCTGTGCGGGTGGACCATGTGTGAGCGCTTTGGAGTGCTAGGGGTAAGCACGGGGTCCCGGAGGCTGGGGTGGGCACGGGGTCCCGGAGGCTGGGGTGGGCACGGGGTCCCGGAGGCTGGGGCGGGCACGGGGTCCCGGAGGGGCTGGGCTGGGCACGGGGTCCCGGAGGGGCTGGGCTGTGCACGGGGGTACCGGAGGGGCTGGGCTGGGCACGGGGTCCCGGAGGGGCTGGGCTGGGCACGGGGTCCCGGAGAGGCTGGGGTGGGCACGGGGGTCCCGGAGGGGCTGGGCTGGGCACGGGGTCCCAGAGAGGGGCTGGGGTGGGCACGGGGTCCCGGGAGGGGCTGGGCTGGGCACGGGGTCCCGGGAGGGGCTGGGCTGGGCACGGGGTCCCGGGAGGGGCTGGGCTGGGCACGGGGTCCCGGAGGGGCTGGGCTGTGCACGGGGGTACCGGAGGGGCTGGGCTGGGCACGGGGTCCCGGAGGGGCTGGGCTGGGCACGGGGTCCCGGAGAGGCTGGGGTGGGCACGGGGTCCCGGAGGGGCTGGGCTGGGCACGGGGTCCCAGAGAGGGGCTGGGGTGGGCACGGGGTCCCGGGAGGGGCTGGGCTGGGCACGGGGTCCCGGGAGGGGCTGGGGTGGGCACGGGGTCCCGGGAGGGGCTGGGCGGGCACGGGGTCCCGGAGGGGCTGCGGCGGGCACGGGGGTCCCGGGAGGGGCTGGGCTGGGCACGGGGTCCCAGAGAGGGGCTGGGGTGGGCACGGGGTCCCGGGAGGGGCTGGGGTGGGCACGGGGGTCCCGGGAGGGGCTGGGCTGGGCACGGGGTCCCGGGAGGGGCTGGGGTGGGCACGGGGGTCCCGGGAGGGGCTGGGCGGGCACGGGGTCCCGGAGGGGCTGCGGCGGGCACGGGGTCCCGGGAGGGGCTGGGCTGGGCACGGGGTCCCAGAGAGGGGCTGGGGTGGGCACGGGGGTCCCGGGAGGGGCTGGGGTGGGCACGGGGTCCCGGAGAGGCTGGGCTGGGCACGGGGTCCCGGGAGGGGCTGGGGCGGGCACGGGGTCCCGGGAGGGGCTGGAGCGGGCACAGAGTCCCAGGAGGGGCTGCGGCGGGCACGGGGTCCCGGAGGGGCTGCGGCGGGCACGGGGTTCTAGGAGGGCGCTGCGACAGCAAGTTCACGAAGCCCCTCGAGGGTCGGGCCCCTTGGACTCTGCGCCCGCAGCGGCCCCCGTCTCTAGGATGGGGCCCACCACCCCGGGTCATCCCTACCCAGCAGCAACACGCTCTGGGCCGGGCTCCCAGGCCCCACAGCCCGTGGGCTGACCGCAGCCGGGCCCTGAGAGCATGGGCCTGCCTGCCCCTGCTGTCCTCCCACGCAGAGCTCCAAAGTGCTGGCCAAGAAGGAGCTGCTGTACGTGCCCCTCATCGGCTGGACGTGGTACTTCCTGGAGATCGTGTTCTGCAAGCGGAAGTGGGAGGAAGACCGTGACACCGTCATGGAGGGGCTGAAGCGCCTGGCTGACTACCCGGAGTACATGTGGGTGAGTGCGCCCTGCGGCCGCCGCCACAGCACCCCGCGCCCACGGGCCGCGCCCCTGAGGGGTCGCAGCCGCAGGCCTGTAATCCCAGCCACTGAGAAGCCCAGAACCGAGGACTGCGGCAAACAAACCCGCACAAAGCTGAAGTGGAGCTGTGGCTCAAGTGGCAGAGCCCTAGCTTTAAACACAAAAGTTCAGGGACAGTGCTCAGACCCTGAGTTCAAGCCTCAGGACCAGCACGTACACACACACACACACACACACACACACGCACGCACGCACACACACACACACCCTCCTGCAGTCTCCTCCCTTGGGCTCTGCTCCATCTGTCCACAGCACAGCTCGGTCGAGTCTGGCGGGGAGGGCTGGAGTCTTTCCCAAACCCACCCTGAGCCTGTGGTCCGAGTCCTTTCCCCTTTTCTAGTCTCTTCTTGGAAACGACTTAATCAACAGTTCCCTGGGCTGGGGGTGTGGGAACGGGTGACCTTCTGTCTTCCACTTTCTGCTGCCCAGACTCACCTTTGGGCTCACTTCTTTCTAGAAGGTTCTTTGAGGAAAGCTAAACCGTGTGTGTATGTGTGACTGCAAAGCAGATCACAGCCCTGAAGTAAGACGGCACTTCGAGTTACACGTGCTGTCACCAGGGAAAGCGCTGGGCGTCTGTGGGCGCCTGGCTGCGGCGAGGCCTGGGGCGCAGGGCTCCGGCCTGCTGGGCCCCGGGTGAGCCTCTGCTCGCGTCCCGCCCTCTCGCCCAGTTCCTCCTGTACTGTGAAGGGACGCGCTTCACCGAGACCAAGCACCGGGTCAGCATGGAGGTGGCCATCTCCAAGGGGCTGCCTCCGCTCAAGCACCACCTGCTGCCGCGCACCAAGGGCTTCACCACCGCCGTGCAGTGCCTGCGCGGCACAGGTAGGCCAGCAGCCCGCACACACACCCGCACCGAGACCGGGGCCGCGCGCGCACCCTGGCGCCCGCGGAGGGAGGGCCACACACGCCCGCACCGAGACCAGGGCCGCGCGCGCCCGGGCGCCTGCGGAGGGAGGGCCGCACACCCCCACACCGAGACCGGGGCCTCGCGCGCCCTGGCGCCCGCGGAGGGAGGGCCGCACACCCCCACACCGAGACCGGGGCCGCGCCCTGGCGCCTGCGGAGGGAGGGCCGCACACCCCCACACCGAGACCGGGGCCGCGCGCCCTGGCGCCCGCGGAGGGAGGGCGGCACGGCGCTGTCCTCACCTGGTGTGAGGCCCTCGCGCCGCTGCTTGGGTGACCAGCACTGGTTTGTGGGAGACAGTGGAAACAATGGAAGGCATCCAGTGCAAAGCAGGAAACCCCAAAGCCATGGAGTTAGTCTGAACGGCGGCCGCGCTGCAGCCAAGGCCAGGGGCGGAGGCGGGGAGCCGCGGACGCCGTTGCCCGCAGGGGCGACGGCTGCCTGGCCGCCCAAGCCCACACGCGTGTCCATCTCCCACAGTCGCCGCGATCTACGACGTGACGCTGAACTTCCGCGGGAACAAGACCCCGTCTCTGCTGGGCATCCTCTATGGGAAGAAGTACATGGCAGACATGTGCGTGAGGTGAGCACGGGGCGGGGGGAGGGAGGCCTTCCGCAGGCCCCGGGCTGGGAGGGGGGGGGCCCTGACCTCCGGCGCTGCTCTGCCCCCCCCTTGGGGCAATGGCACCGGGCGGACAGGGCAGACCCGCAGCCGTGGCCTCCTCCCTGCCGCGTTCCCGCTCCGAGCACGGGCGTGCAGCTGGCAGCCATAGGGCAGCCCGCACTGGGCAGAAAGCCACACAGCCCTCTTCCCGCCCACTGTGCCATTTCAAAAGCCAACATACAGTAAGACCCTGCTGTGTGGGGTGCAGGTGTGCGTGGCGTCATGTGGGTGATCTCTAGGCACACACATCAGGAGTGAGCGGTGGAGCAGGGCTCACCCTCTCCCTGCCCTTTTCTTCTGCCCCTCAGCGGGCACCAGAGGTGGCAAATCCTCCGCCGCCATTACCAGGGCATGTGGGCCCTGGGGCTCGCCACGCGCGTGCGCCTGTCCACAAGGACATCTGGTCGGCGCGTGCGCATGCACGCACGAGGGAGTTGGGCAGAGGTGCGTGGCCCAGCACCGGCACTGCTGGCAGTGGGGTCTTGTTCAGTGCCATTCATGCTGAGGTGGCCAGGCCCGCATAAACCAGAGCTCCGCGGGCGGCCGCAGGGCGGGGCGCTCTGCCCAAGGCTTGTGCTGGGCTCCCCGGGAGGAGCTGCTGTGGCCCTGGAGTGGAAGCCCAGGGCCCGTCCCAGACAGGCACCCCACACCCCCTCCATCTGCAGTTTTGTTTATTCAAGCCCACTGTGGCTCCAAAGCACTATGTAGAAATGTTTAGAAATGATCTGTGCACACCATTTAAAGGGTGTCCTTTTGAGCAGCATGAGGTTTGCGATTGTACCCTCCCTGCCCTGCCCTGCTGCAGCCATCCATGTGCATGGCCTTGGCCGTCAGTCTGGGTGGGCATTGCAGGAGCACAACGGGAGGGAGGTGCCCGGGGCACAGTGTGGAGGGTGGATGGACTCGGGATGTGTGGAGGGGCAGCGTGCAAAGCGCTTGGTGCTACCTGTGACTCAGCCTTCTCTAGGGCTTCTGAAAAGAAGCTATCCTGGCTGGTGTGTGCATGCATATATGTTTGTATGTATGCATGCATGCAGATCTACGCCTGTGTGTGCATGTATGCAGATCTATGACTGTGTATGCATGTATGCGGATCTATGCCTGTGTGTGCATGTATGTGGATCTGTGCATGTGTGTGCATGTACGCGGATCTAAGCCTAGGTGCGTGCATGTATGCAGATCTACGCATGTATTTGTGTGCATGTATGCGGATCTACGCCTGTGTGTTTGCATGTATGCGGATCTACGCCTATGTGTGTGCATGTATGCGGATCTATGCCTGTGTGTGCATGTATGCGGATCTACGCCTGTGTGTGCATGTATGTGAATCTATGCCTGTGTGTGCATGTATGCGGATCTGCATGTGTGTGCATGCATGCGGATCTTCGCCTGTGTGTGCATGCATGCGGATCTACACCTGTGTGTGCATGCATGCGGATCTACGCATGTGTGTGCATGTATACAGATCTATGCATGTGTGTGTTGCCCCCTCCTGGACATGGTGTGGCATGACAGTTACCATGGAAAATGAGTTTTCACCTGCTTCTGGGGTTTTGCTTTGAGCTTTTCAAAACCTTAAAACACAAAGACTTATTCCTCTCCTAAAATCACAGGCTGAGGGCTGAGGCTGTAGCTCAGGAGCAGAGCGCTTGCCTAGCATGTATAAAGCCCTGGGTTTAATCCCTAGCACATAAAAAAAAGTCCAGATAAGCCTGCATGGCTCCGAGGACAGGGAGCTCAGGGAGCTCTCCCTGCTCTCCCCGCGCTGTCCACGGGGTCTCGGTGCTGCTCTTCCTCTGCACTGAGACTTTGTGAAGCTGTTGCTGAGCCGAGCACCCCATACTGGCGGGGCGGGAGGTCTGCGCTGACCCAGGGGTCGGATGCTGCAGTTGACCACCTTCAGTCCCCATTGTAGTTCCAGCTGACGAACAGAGTCTTGTTAATGGTAGAAGTATTGGGAAGTCCTAATACAAGGGGTTTCTCTTGGTATACTGGGGTTTTCTCTTGGTATACTGGGGTTTTCTCTTGGTATACTGGGGTTTTCTCTTGGTATACTGGAGTTTTCTCCTGGTATACTGTGGTTTTTCTCTTGGTTTACTGGAGTTTTCTCTTGGTTTACTGAGGTTTTTCTCTTGGTATACTGGGTTTTTTTCCCCTTAGTTTACTGGAGTTTTCTCTTGGTTTACTGGGGTTTTTCTCTTGGTTTACTGGGGCTTTGAACTCAAGGCCTCAAACTTGACAGGTAGGTATTTTGCCTATTTCGTGAGTAGGATCTCATTCTGAGTTGGTCTGAGAGCGCAGTCCTTCTGATCTGAGACTTCTGTGTAACTTGGGATGCCAGGCCTGCAGCACCATGCCCAGCTAGGGGTTGAGAAGTGGCTCATGGACTTTCCTACCCCGGTTGCCTTTGAACTTTGATCTCAGCCCCTGAGTATTGAGAATTACCCAGCTGGAGTGAGACCCCTGTGTCCTGCTTTCCTGTCACTCAGTGCAGATGGCTCAGGCCTTGGCTGTACCTTTGTCAAAGCACAGTTCACCAGCAAGGACAGCTCCCTGCCATGCATGGGACATCGCCTGGATTGGGTATTAGCCCTCACGCTGCTCACCCGCAGGACAAACACCAAACAAACGCTGGGACCCTTTGGGTGGGCATGCCGCTAGCCCGGTACTCACAAATCATCCAGGTCAAAGAGGGAGATTAAAGTGCTGCGATTGTAATACTGTTCATATTGGAAACAGGTAGAGAAAGACAGTGCCGATTACCTTTACATCACAGGGTGAGATACAGGCCGGACGCAGGGTGGGACTGATCCGCCTCATGCTGCTGAGGTTTCTTTCTGTCCGCGGCCGGCTCTGCCCCTGAGCCTGGGTGAGCGGACATGCTGGTGCACGTGGCACGGGGGCAGCAGGGAGGAGCCGGGCCCAGAGCCCCCTCCGAGGCCCGGCGGCCCACTTCCTCCAGCCACACCCAATTCCCGGGCCTGCCTCCCACAGTCTGCTCCAGCTTTCATTCCATCCATGGATTAGACCATTAATTAGGTCAGAGCCCTCATCATGGTAATTCCCTCCCAGACACCCAGAGGTGAGCTGACCAACCTCCCAGGCAGGCGTCTCTCAATCAGATCAAGGTGACAAAGACACCTCGGTCATGGTTATTTCCAAAGGGTTGTTCATTCTCGTTGGGAGAGGCCAGCACTCCTCCAGCAAGGGACTAGAGGGGGCTGTGCCACGTCCCCAGTATGGACGCACTTCTTGGCTTCTCGGTGGCACTGGTGGTGCCCATGAGACTCTAATGTGTGCACCCTGCGATTACTGGGGCTCTGCTGGGGTTTTACTGTTGTTTTACACTCGTGGGGCTTGAACTCTAGGCCTGGGCACTGTCCCTGAGCTCTTTAGCTCAAGGCAAGTGTTCTACCACTTGAGCCACAGCGCCATTTTTGGTTTTCTGGTGGTTTATTGGAAATAAGACTATCACAAACTTTCCTGCCCGGGCTGGCTTTGAACCATGGTCCTCAGATCTCAGCCTCCTGCGTAGCTGGGATTGCAGGTGTGAGCCTCCGCGCCCGGCTCTCTGCTGTTTTGTGGTGGAGTAAGCAGGGCCTTCCTGGTGCTCGCTGGCCGTGGCGCGCCGTGGCCATTGGAGCTCTTCTCTCTGGGACAGGAGGTTCCCCCTGGAGGACATCCCAGTGGATGAGAAGGGCGCTGCGCAGTGGCTGCACAAGCTGTACCAGGAGAAGGTAAGAGGCCGGCCCGCGCAGGGCGGCGCCCGCTTCCCCGATCCTGGTCTTCCTCGTGACAGGCCAGGAGAAGGTATGGATGACCACACAGTGATGGCGGACCACTCTGCTTTCAACACCTACCACACCAGGGGCCCAGGCTGACACTGAACTTTCACCCCTCCTGCCTCTTCTCCCAAGAGCCAGATCACTGGCACACACCACCACACCCAGCGTGGTTTCTCTTTTATGTAAAGGCAACTGTAGGTTTATAACAGAGGTCTCCTTGCTCGCATCATGGATACCATAGTAGGTAGCGCCTGGAGGGAGATTCTCCCGTCCCTCCCACTCCCTCCTTCCACCCTGTGGGCTGATGGGCATGTGTCACCACACCCACATGATACTTGAGATGGAGTCTCCTGAACTTTTCCACCCGCACTGGCCTCAAAATAGGATCCTCCTGCTTTCAGCCTCCCAAGTAGCTAGAATTACTGGAGTGAGCCACCAGCACTCAGCCTTTGGTTCTGAGACTGTTGACAGTGACATAGATTCACCGCATGCCCTGTCAGTGCTGTGGGTCTTCTACCTGTGGTGATGCCCTTTTCCTGTCTCGTGGGGGCTGGGCACATCTTAGCAGATCTCCTCTCTGGCGTGGGGTTGGTGGGTGGACGTGAGGGACGGTTCTGTGGAGAGGCAAGGCCCCTCCCCGCATCTGTGCCCACACCCCCTTAGGCCAATTTCCACTGCCTGTCTGTTTTCCTTCTGGACCCTTCCAGGACGCGTTGCAGGAGATGTACAAGGAGAAGGGCGTGTTCCCCGGGGAGCAGATCAAACCAGCACGCCGGCCGTGGACCCTGCTGAACTTCCTGTGCTGGGCTGCGGTCCTCCTCTCCCTCCTCTTCAGCTTTGTCCTGGGCATCTTTGCCAGTGGATCCCCGCTGCTGATCCTGACGTTCCTGGGGTTCGTGGGTGCAGGTAATGCTCCCGGGGGGCTCCGCTCACCCTGCCCCCCCCAGGGCCGCACCTCTAGCCACGGTGCCAGGCCGGCCAGTGGAGCCCTGCAGGAAAGGGGGCTGAGCGACCGCAGGCCCGTCCTCTGCCCGGCCCCGTGGCCCCTGTGCAGACCCGCACGGTGGCTGCGTTGCATCTGGGGGGCTTTGTGGGACAGGCCAGGGCGGAGGTGGCACTCGCTCCATCAGGACCTGTTTACTCAGCTCCTGCTGTCCCTCGGTGACCCCCCCCCACCCCGTGCCTGGCCCTGGCCTGGGCCTCAGGCCCGGCTGGTGAGGGGCGCCCCCCCCCGCCGTGTGCTCTGCGGACAGAAGCTGGGGGGGTTCTGTATGGTCCCTGGCGGGCCTGGGCAGCCTTCCTCCCGCCCCATGAGCTCCACAGGGCTGGACGCCGCCTGGGGTGGGGGTGGGGGGTGACCTGCAGGGTTTTCTCAGGCCGCATGTTCCCACTCTCTGATGTCATTTTGCTCACAACCACGCGGGCACAGCCAAGCGGGCACCCTGCCCTGGCTGCCCCCTCCTGACACACGGTGCCAGAGGACGAAGGGGCGGCCGAGGCCGGAGGAGGAAGTGCACCGCAGCTCCCGGGCAAAGATGCCCGTAACCGCTTCTCTCTCCTGTCTTTAAAGCTTCCTTCGGACTCCGAAGACTGATCGGAGTCACGGAAATAGAGAAGGGCTCCAGCTATGGAAACCAAGAATTGAAGAAAAAGGAATAATTAATGGCTGTGATTGAACACACATAACCTGACGCGGAATCTGATTAACTCAATTAGAACAACACACACTGAGCGAGGGGAGAGAGACACTTAGAAACTATTTTTCTTATTAACTGGTGACTAATATTAACAAATAAAACTTGAGCCAAGAGCAGAGATCTCAGAAGGCCTGCCCGGTGAAGACAAGTCAGCGTGCACACGCCCGGCCCCCTCCGCCCAGCACGAGAAGAGCCGGGCGTGGAGGGGGGCGGCCGGGCGGGGAGCCGGGGAGCCCCGGCGCCAGCTCTGCCCCGCACTGCTTCCAGGATGGAGCCTCGGGCTGCTTTCTCTTCTGCTGCTTAGATGGAGGCTTTCATTTTCAGTCAGTTAGCGTCAGGAATTGAACCTGGCCTCTTACCTCTTGCCCTGTGCCCCCAGAATGCCAGCTCTCCAAGAATCCCCGCTCCGGGCATGGGTGACGGGTCCTTGAGAGCTCGCTTTGCTTCCAGCCTGGGGGGCGTGGGGGGGACACCAAGGTGATAAGCACACGTGGACGTCAATCAGCCTGACCCGCAGGCCCCGCCCACCGCCCCACCCACGGCCGCCTCCCCAGCGCTCTCCGCCCCGCCCCCTTAGCCTGTGTGTAAAGACCTTGAATTTATTTTTAAAGTGAATGGCCCCAAGAGCTCGGTGAGATGTGGAGTCCTTCCTGTTCCCACAGCGCCTCTCTTTCTATCCTCTGCGGTGAGCAGGCCCTGCTGGGCCGGGCCAGGCTGGGCAGCCACCCTGGACCCCACCCCTTAGAGGGCCATGGCTACGGGACTGTAGGTGCTTTTTAAGAGGCGCCAATGGCTCATGCCTGTCATCCTAGCTAATCAGGAGGCTGAGATCTGAGGATCGCAGTTCAAAGCCAGCCCTGGCAGGCTGTGAGACCCTTATCTCCAATGAACCACTAGAAAACTGGAAGTGGCACTGTGGCTCAAGCGGTAGGGTGCTGGCCTTGAGCTGAAGAGCTGAGGGACAGCGCCCAGGCCCAGAGTTCAAGCCCCACGACCAACAACAAAAAAAAAAACCCGAGTCTCCCTGACACCTCCATGTTCAAAGGCTGACCCAGACCGTGCTTCTGGGCCTTTGGAGGGCACTTTTACTGGAAGCTTCCTCTCCTCCACCTGGTGCACTGCCCTCGGGGAGGGCCTGCCTCTGTCTAGGCAAGTGTCACTGCGGCCCAGCCCTCCGCCCGCCTCTATGGCCTTGCGAGGACCCATTGGCCTGGCACCCAGGGCAGCTGGAGGCCCTCCAGGGAGCCCGGTCCCCCCAGCCCGCCTCGTACTGTGGCTCCCCCTGCGCTCTGCTCTTCTCTGAACCGACTCCTTCGTGGTCATGTTGGCTTGTTCCCAGGGGGGCTAGTGAGGGGGACTCGGGTGTTGTGGTGGTGTCTCGGCTCCGCAACCGGCCTCCTGAGTGCCGGAGGGCAGGGAGGCGGGGAGAGCACAGGCCCAGGGGAGGAGCTGCGGCCTGTGTTCTGGGCCGAGCAGCAGATCTGGCGGGAGCCTGGATCCCCCAGAATCTCTGGCGCTGCTGACCTCCTGGGTGGGTGTGGGTGGGAGTGGCGGGGGAAGATCCTCCGGCCCTGTGCTGGCTCACGCGTGACGGATGTGAACGAGTGTGGAGCCCTGTGATGGGAAGGAAACACTACCCCAGCCCTTCCTGGCCTCGGCAGCTCCCGGGGTGGGGGGCACTGCTGGCTTTCTCCTCCTTCACCACCCCTGCCCCAGTCCTTCCCCAACCCGCCCGCCCGCCCACATCTAGAAAACCTTAAAGGAAAAAGTCAGAGAGCACGACTGTGCAAGCTCCACCCTCTTCCCCAGGGAACTCCCTCTCTTTGACATTCTCTGTGCGCCGGGCGGGTGTGCGCTGAGCCCATGAATGAGTGAAGAGCCGGGCGCCAGCCGGGCCTCTCCGCTGGCCCCCAGGACCGCAGTGGACATGCGAATCTGAGCACTCAGCCTTCTGAGAGCAATAAAAAAACCCTACACCATGAATGTTGGGGGCTTGCGGGGCGGGATGGGTTTTGCTTTTCCTCTGATTCAGAAGGAAAAGGAGAGTGGAGTGGTCCTTTGATTTTTAAAAAAAAATGAATAAATCTCAGAATAGTGTTTTTCTCTTTTTCCTTTATACCTTACACCCTAGCACATCCATAGCCGATGCTCCACCCAGGGCCAGGCAGGATTGGAGGCCTAGACTGAAGCTGAGCACAGGGCCGTGCTCTGGGGGAGAGCGCTCTGCGGGGCCCCCCACCCCCCCCCAGGCCAGCTCACACAGGCCTAAGCCTGGGGCATGGATTCACCACCAGTGTTCATGATCTCTCCACAGCCGTCCTGCCGTGCCTGAGCTGTGGCGTTGCTGGGGGTGGGGGCAGGGGCTGCCCTGCCAGGTCTGGAGCTAGGGAGTTCCAGAGGTGTCTGGAAACAAGCTTGGCTCCCCCGCAGGAGGCAGGGTGGTGGGGAGGCATTCACGGGCCAGAGGCCGGGCGGTCTGACGTGACTACTGGTAGATAAGACCTAAAGAGAGAAACTCCTCAGTGGAGGGGCTTGCTGAGCCCAGCCAGGTGCGCCGTTTGAGATGAGGCACAGCCTTATCCTGAGCAGTGAGCGCCGAGTCTGTGAACGCCACGGCAGCACTTCCTCCTTCGAAAAAACATGAGGCTTACGGCCGGCTGGCCATGTGGACTGTCCCGTTCTCTGTGTGCTCCACTTGCACAAGCCCCTCCTTACGCCAATCCAGCCAAGGTGTTGCTCGGCCCTGGCTGAGAAGCCAGCAGGGAGGAGACGGTCCGGGGTGTGGACACGCCCAGCCACGCCCATCAGGACTACCGAGTGGTGTGAGGTGCGGGTGAGGAACGCGGCTCTGCACGTGGCTTCGTCTCTGCTGAGGCTTCTAGGATGAGCAAGTGTAATCTCAGCCCTGACTTTCATCTGGGATTTCTTCCTGCTGCCCCGCCACCAGCTAGCTGCATGCAGCCCTGCCGAGCAGCCCTGATCGCCCGGCCAGCAGCGAGGCTTCCAGCCTCCACGCTGTACCTGGCTCAGGGTTAAAGTGATGAGCTTGCAAAGCCTGTCTGCTTTCTGTCTGGGAACAGCATGCCCTGGCCTGCGGGCCAGCCCCAACCAAAGGCAAGCACGGCACAGCCCCGGGCTCAGGCAGAGACACCCCCGCCCCCGGCCCTGCCGCCGGGCTGGCAGAGCCGAGCGCTGACACGCAGCCTCCAGGCTCTTGTATATTGGTGCCCGGCTGCAAAACCACAGGGTTCAGTTCTGGGTAAATGTCACACTGCAGTCCGCTTTATGGAGTGCAGTGGGCCCGTGTGAGTTAGGTTTTGTGACGTGGTTGTGGCTGCTGGGTCCGGGGAGATGGGGTGCTCACAATCAGCTCTGGACGTGCACACAAGCACACCAAGAAGCCAAGAGGCGCCAGAGGAGCCAGCCTGGCGGGGCCACCGGCTCCACCGGGGCGGAGCAGCTGCAAAGCTGTAGGCTTTGCACGGACAAGGTTGCCTGAAGGCTTCTTATCTCCTTGCTTTCTCAGTTTCCTAACGTCTTTCGCAAAGGCCATTGGCCAGAAGTCCAGGTGTGAGTGGGTGTGAGACGCACTCGGTTGCATTCAGTTAAGCTGCAGTGACTGGAGGCAGTGCGGAGACGCATCACTCTCCTGTAGCGCGCGTCTGCGGTGGCACTCGGTCCGGCCATCAGTCAGGAGCTCTGCGGCCTCTTCACAGACGAGCTGGGCTCCGGAACTGTCCGGGACGCCCCGTCTCTGGAGACCCCATGCATTGCAGACACTCATAGTTCTTTTTCTATTACTGGAAAAAGTACTGCCATGGCTGGCTGCTGGTTCTTTTCGAAGGGTTGCGTTGTTTACAGGGTACAACTGTATTATAGGGTCGTTTCCTTTTATATACTTCCTTTTTACAAGTTTTGCTACTCACAGTGTTATGTAGTGGAGGATGGAAATGGCTTCTATCTGCAGAATTTCATTTGAATTGGGGGCGGAGAGGCTGAGACCATGTAGATGGTGTCTCCAAGAGCTGTGGCGTGTTACAGGCGGTGTCCCCCAGGCCTGGCCAGGCCACGTTTGGGAAGATCTCTGTGCAGAGGCTGCGGGGGGGAGGGGGGAATACAGGACCACGGGCACTTCCTGTCCCTTGGGGCCCGCCTCCGGCAACCCGTACTGCTCTCTGGTGCCAGGTGCTTTCTGGATGGGAACTAGGAGGGGGGCGGGGGGGGGGGGGGGAGAGGAGAGATAACCCAGCAGAAGGCGCGGGAGATCTGAGCCCTGAGAGACCATGGCCTTGATTTGTTTCAGGTTTTCCAAAAGCCATCAAGGACAAAATGCTTTGTCCAAAGTAGGAATGTGTTATGTCCCAAACTATTTTTGTAAAATTCATTCTGTGGAAGAAACCAAGGAGCCTCTTTCCTTCTTTATTAAAAAACAAAACAAAAGCCTTGTTGGAACCAGAAGATGTCCCAGGTTCTCATGTGTCTGTCTTCCAAAAATAAATTGCACTATATGAACCATAGTGTTGTCCTGCTCTGGGGAATGGCCCCCGATGACGGATGTGTTTTTCCGCCCCGGGGTCACCTCCTGCCCGGTGCCGGTGCCCTGCCCAGCATGGGCTTTTGGGTTCTGTGGAAAGCTCTGCAAAGCCCCTCCCCGGCCCCCCAGGTGCCCACGGTGCCCGCAGCATGTGCCTTCTCCCCTGGACTCAATAAAGCCCCTGCTGGCCCTTGGAGGAAGCTGAGTGTCGAGCTCTGCTCTGCTGCCCAACATCGGCCTTTCCTCTACCCGGGGCCTGGGCTGGCCCTGATGAGCTTGGGGAAGGTCTTAGCCACCTGTGGCACAAGAGCCTTTGCCGTTCACATCCAAGTACGCGCATGCACGTGCACACTCGCACAGCAGATGCTCACTTGGCATCCGAGCCCCAGGTGAGGTTCAGGCACCCACCAGGGCAGAGGCTGAAGGACAAGCCTCCAGCCAGGACAGACGGACAGCTGAGCACCTCTGCTGCCCCTGATCGCTCTCAACCTCGGAAGCTCAGGAGTGGACAATGTCACAAGCCTTCTGTCCAGATGCCGCCAGGGGCTTGAAGTCCCTGCAGGGCAGCCTGCTCGGGGT